CTGTTAGAGCTGCATCGAGCCCTGGCAGGATTCTATGAGAGCGGGTCCAGTTTCAATATAATCGCACTCAGGCTGGACTGAGCCCAGGTAGGATTTCATTAGAGCTGGGGCCAGTAGAACTGGACCCGTCCCTCGCAGGATTTCTGTAACATTGGATCGACCTTTTTGTAGGACTCGATCGGAGTTCGACCGAACCTTATTCTAATTCTACCAGAGCTGAACCCAAGTGCAGAAGCAGTACTCCATTTGAGCTGGTTCGAACAACCGTAGAATTTCTTTTACCGCTGGGGCGAGCCCGAGTAGGATCTCGATTCGAGCTGGATGCCGCTGCCCGAGTTCTTGCAGGGTTGGATGCAGCCCCGGAAAGTGTTCTGTCAGAGCTGGCTCGAAGTTTTCTGCCAGGAGTGGATCGAAATATCATACGATTCCAATCGGGTCGAACCAAGTACAGGAGGGGAAGAAACACACAGACAATTAATCGTCGACCCCCAGGAAAATATGGGAAAACAGGGGAAGTGGGGGGGAAGACAGAAGCCCAGAAAATATGGGTAAATATGGGGAGTCAGGTTATTTGTGTGTATATATTTGTGTGTCCTTGGGCCCCTTGAATATCATACGAGTCCAATCGGGTTGAACCAAGTCTCAGTCGCATTCTCTCAGAGCCGTTGCCTGGCGCGGGCCCCGGCGACAGGTAAGCCGCTGTTTCAGACGGTGTCGTCGTCGTCGTCGCTTTCGGCGCCCTCGTCGTCGTCCTCGTCGTCGTCGCTGTCGTCGTTGTCGTCGGCGTCATCGTCGTCGTCGTTGTCGTCGTCGGCGTCGGCGTCAGCGTCTTCGTCGCCGTCGCTGTCGTCGTGCGTCGTGCGTGGTCGTCGTGCGTCGTGCGTTGTCGTTGCCGTCGTCATCGTCGCCTTCGTCGTCGTCGTCGTTGCCTTCGTCGTGGTCGTCGTTTTTGTTGTCGTTGTCATCGTTGTCGTCGTCGTCGGCGTCGTCAGCGTCGTCGTCGTCCGCGTCGTGTGCCGGCGGCGTCGTCGGTGCCGTCGTCGTTGCCTGCAGGGGGGGGGAAGTGTGGACCCCCCCGATTAATCCCCAAGGGAGGAGGGGGCTCTGCCCCCCCAGTGTTTTTTCGAGGGGCGGGAGGTCCGTACTGTAGGTTTTTCCGGCGAAAGGGGGGGGGGGCAGGGGGGGGTGTTCTGACGCCGCCGAATGTTTGGTTTCCGGCCGCCAGCGGCGGATCGCGCTTCCTCGGGTATCCGGGGGCGCGCGTGGAAGAAGTGGCATCGTCGGATGTCTGGGTGGCCTGAGGCCTTCGAAGTCCCGAAAGCGAATTTCCCCGACAGTCTGGGGACACGCGCCGTGTAAGAGTCAACGGAGCCGAGGGCGCCAACTTCGGCGCGCCGGCTTCCCGCGCCAGGTTGCGCGTGGGCGCCCTCGTCCCCAAGGCAGCGTGCCACGATGGCGGCCCGCGCAAGCCACCGCGTGAGGCCGCTATGTCGTCGTGCGCTCTGTGGGCCCCGGAAACGGCAGGGCCGTTTTTTCACCATTTCCAAAAAATGGCCCTTGAAAATGGAAACGGCAACAAAAACGGCGACCAGAAACGGCAAAAAAACGGCTCCAGGATTGGAACCGCAGCCGGAACCGGTCAAACAACGGCGACGAAACGGGTAAAAAAGGGGCGTCTGAACCGGCAAAAAAACGGCAAAACGGAACCGGTAAAAAAACGGCTCTGTCGTTTCCAGGGCCCACGAAGGTCGTGCGTAAGACCCCTCTCGCCCACCTGGAGGGCGACGCGGGGGGCGTACTTCGCGGGCCTTGCCGCTTCCCCCCCCCCCCCCCCCGGGCCTCTTTGGCCACGGCGGGCGGGCCACGGTCGGTGCCCGCAGCTGCTCGGCCGGCTTGGGAGCCGGCCCCGGCGGGCGCCAGGCCCAGACCTCCGCCAGGGGGCACCCCGCCGCCCATTCCCCGGCGGAGGAGGGGACGCCCACTCGGCCGCCGCCGCCGCCGCCGCCCGAGACGGTCTGTCACCGCTGGTCTTGGGGCTTGGGATGCCCCAGGCGCTCGAGGTATCTGCTGAGGACGACGAAGCTCCGAGACACCGTCCGCTCGCCGCGAAGCAGTTGTCATGCACAGACCGTTATAGAGTTTGTCGCAAAACAGGCAATGCGTTCGAAGACGTCTGGGCGTGCGGGGGTCGTCTATCTTACTTCGAGATCCTCGACTCCAAGAAGCCCTTGCGTTCTTTTCCGCTTGCGGGGAGGACGAACTGCGCGAAGAGGATGCAGGAGAGGAGGGACGGGCGGGGCCGGGGTGGAGGGACAGAGTGGAGTAGAGGGGATGGCCGGGGAGCAATGGCAGCGCACGAAAAGGGAGGGGATGAGGGACGGGTGGAGGGAGGATGAGCCAGGAGGAGGTGCAGGAGTTTGAGAAGTCGTGCGGATAAGGCGGATGAAGGAGGAGGAGGAGGAGGAGGAGGAGGAGGATTCATTCGCGGATCGTTGTGCGGCCTGCCCCCCCGGCTGCCCCGAGGCCAAGGGCGTCTGCGGACTCCCCAGCTGCCCGGCGGCTCAGCGTCAGCGGCGGCTGCGAGAGAGGGAAGGAGTGAGGCGTGAGGTAGATGTGAGGAAGGAGGATGGATGGATGGATGGATGGATGGACAGATGGATGGACATGGTGATGGTGATGACGTTTGTGATTATGATGATGATGATGATGATGATGATGATGATGATGATGATGATGATGATGATGATGATGATGATGATGAGGCTGCTGATGATGATGATGATGATGATGATGATGATGATACTGATGACGATGTTGATGAGGACGATGACGATGATGATGATGATGATGAGGAGGAGGAGGAGGAGGATGCGGATGAGGATGTTCATGTTGCAGATGATGATGCTGATGACGTTAATGTTGCTGATGATGATGTTGATGATGATTGCGATGGTGGTGGTGGTGGTGATGATGATAAGTTTGATGGGGCTGGTGATGATGGTGATCATGATGGGAATGATGTTGATGGTGGTGATGGTGATACTAATGGTCATGCTTATAGTGATGCTGATGGTTAGGGTGATGGTAATGAGGATGATGAAGGGGATGGTGCTGCGGATGAGGATGATGATGAGGATGTTGAGGGTGATGAGGATGACGAAGATGATACTGATAATGGTGATGATCATGGTTATGATGAGGATGATGACGATGCTGATGATGATGAAGCGAATGATGGTTGTGCTGATGGTGATGCTGATGTTGAAGATGATGATGGCGTGGTGAAAATGAAACTGATTATAATGATGTTGCCGACGATGATGAGGAATATGCTGCTGCTGATGATGAGGATGATGCTGACAATAATGCTGATGACGATGATGGTGACGATGACGATGACGGTGATGATGCTGATGATGATGACGATGATGATGCGGAGACTGATGCGGATTGTGGTATGGCGATGGTGTTGATGGTGATGGTGATGGTGGTGACGATGATGGCGGTGATGGTCATGCTGGTGATGGTGATGATTATGATGAGTTTGATGTTGGTGTTGATGCTGATGTTGACGATGCTGATGATGATTATGGTGGTGGTGGTGATGATGGTGCTGCTACTGCTGCTGATGATGACGATGATGATGGTGATGGTGCCGTTCATATTGATGATGATTATGACGATGATGATGATGATGATGATGATGATGATGATGATGATGATGATGATGATGATGATGATGATGATGATGATGATGCCGATGATGATGATGATGATGATGATGATGATGATGATGATGATGATGATGATGATGGTGATGGTGATGGTGATGGTGATGATGATGATGATGATGGTGATGATGGTGATGATGATGATGATGATGATGATGATGATGATGATGATGATGATGATGGCGGTGGTCAACAATGGTACTGAGGATGGTCCTGGTCTCGTCTCCTCCCTTCTCCTCTTCCTTCCCCTCGTCGTCCTCGCCCTCCGTTTCTCCTCACCCCCTGCCTCCTCCCTCTTACCTCGGGGGTGGACAGAACCCCCAACAGCGACACGTCGATTAGTGAATTGTCCCTTTTCGGTTCCTCAGAGGGCGCCGTGGCCGTCATGTTCAGGCCTGCGCCCGCCAGGTTTGGGCCCCAGGTCGTTTTCACTAAACCACGTTTTGCTAGAGGGGGGTCCGTCCATCCCCGGTTACCGTGCTGTCCCTGCGGCCGCCAGGCTCCTCTGGCTGGCGGGGCAGTCGCGAGCGGTCACGATGTCTGTGAGGCTTCCCCCGAGAGCAGGGACGCCGTCCGAGAGGAGAGTCTCGGGGGAGAGACGTCCACACTGGTCCCTGCCCCTCCCCACGTCAGGGGCTTCTGGCCGGGCTCTTCCCCTCCTGGTCCCCCCCCCCCTCCTCGCCCCTCCTCCCTTCGCACTCCCCCCCTCCCCCTCCTCCCTTCCCGCTCCCCTCCCTCCTGCTCCCTCCTTCCCTGCCCCCTTCTATCCTCCTGCCGTCTGCCCTCCTCTGCCGCCACTAGCGTGTGGGCGCAGCTTGGCACTCCTCCTCCTCCTCCTCCTCCTCCTCCTCCTCCTCGGTCTCCTCCTCCTATTTAGCTCAGAGCTGTTGGCGAGAGTGTCAATATGACGCCCCCCTCGCACTCCTCCTCCTCCTCCTCGTCTTCCTCTGGTCATCCGCATATGACACACGCAAGTACTGCGCAACACGTTGAAGATGAACACGCTGTTCCGAACGGTGTTTCAAAGTGGCGTCACCGTGCGGATGCGCGCACGTATTTGGAGTTCGTTTCGGGATATTGTCGACGGAGTCCAACCTGCCACCTCTTTTCAGCGCAGCTCAAGACCTCGCCTCTGGATGACTGGCCCAGCTCAGGGAGGCAACGAGTGGGGTCATGCGGACCTTCCCGTCAAGGTGGTCCTAATTTTCGGAGCGCCGAGGGATCTCACGAAATGTCAGCTCGAGCGAGAACGACATGATCGCACCGCGCATGCACCGCCGCAACGGGAGCCTCATCGATCGGCTGGCAAAGGGCCCAAAGACGCCCATACCAAGAGGTGTGGTGTGGCAAGGCCGGAGCCCTGCGGCACTCCCCCCCCCAGCAGTTGTCCGTGGACCCGTTGAAAGGACCGCGACGTCGCGATGCTGGGGGCACATGTTTGCAGCAGGCTCAGCGATCGCGCGAGGCGGTCGAAGAGGCAGGACTGCTGCCAAGGCGAGCGGCTGCCACGGAGAAAGAGGAAAGGAAGGCCCAGCCAGGGGAACACGAGAATGATAGGAATGACGACCTCACTGACAGTCGCTCCGTTGCGTGGTGGCTGAGCCCAGGCGCACCAACCAAGGCGGATACTGAGACGGTCGAGGTAAAGCCCTGCTTCCACATGTTGCCGCCTTAACTTTGAATGTGTTGGCGAATCGCGAGGAGAGGGGGCACAAAAGCGGTAGGGCGCGGGGACGCGCGGACGCCATGCCGACCAACGCTGTAGCAGAGGAGGCGCAAACCGCCGAATTAAGCAATAATGCGGGACCTTTGAGCCTACGAGGCGCAGAATCTGTTCTTCCTCCTCCTCCTGTGCAAAAGCGAAGAAGACAACGAGGAGGCGGATTAATGAACTGATAAGAATGAGGATGTTGAGCAGAAGGCGGAGCACGACGATGAGGACGAAGGGGGGGGAGACAGAGAACGACGACGAAGCAAGGGTGAGGATGGTGCGAGGGAACAAGAGGCATCTTGGCGCCTGGCTTTTTTTGTTTTCTCTCTCTCTCTCTCTCTCTTTTTCCCTCCTCTTTCTTTTCTTCTTTCTCTTTCTCTCTCGCTCGGAGCAGGAGCAGGAGCAGGAGCAGGAGGAGGAGGAGGAGGAACAGGAGGAGGATGAGGAGGAGGGGGAGGAGGAGGAGGAGGAGGAGGAGGAGGAGGAGGAGGAGGAGGAGGAAGACAGCCCCTGAGATCTTCTGGACGTGCGGACCCCCCCCCCCTTTTCTCACCCCGCCTTCCCTTCCTCTTCCTCTGACAGGGGGGGGGGGGGGGGCAAAATAGGCTCAGGAGGCAAGCGAGGGGGGAGGAGCAAGAGGAGAAGGGAGCAGGAGCAAGTCTGTGACGACGACGAGGCCGACGCGAACGGGGAGAAGGTGGACAAGAGACGCAGATGACAAGGAGGCTGCGAGGCCCCATCGTCGTCGTCGTCGTCGTCGTCGTCGTCAACGTCGTCGTCGTCGTCGTCGTCGTCGTCGTCGTCGTCGTCGTCGCGGTCCTACTCCTCAACCTGCAGGAGCGCCGGAAAGCCTCCGCAACGTCGGTGCCGAAACCGAGGAGGAGGAGGAGGAGGAGGAGGAGGAGGAGGAGGGGGAGGAGGAGAATTGGGAGGAGGGGGAGGAGGGAGATAATATAAGATGAGATGAGATGAAATAGGCAGCGGCCTGAAGCCAGTTCGGGGGGCCTAGTCAGGCCCCGAATCGGAGACCTCCGATGCAGAAGCCTCCTCAAATTCTCGGCGTCCGCAGCACGCTCGAGGAGGCACGCACCCAAGGCAGCAACGTCTGGGAGCTCCTCCTCCTCCAGACCGAACGCCCTTAGCACGGCGGCTCGGGGTCCCAAAACCTACAGAGAGCCAGGCGGAGGAGGAGGAGGAGGAGGAGGAGGAGGAGGAGGAGGAGGAGGAGGAGGAGGAGGAGGAGGAGGGGGGGGAACAAGAGATGTGTGAGGAAGAGATAGAGTAGGATGATGAGGAGGAGGAGGAGGTGGAGGAGGAAGAGGAGGAGAGGAGGAGGAGGAGGAGGAGAAGGAGGAGGAGGAGGAGGAGGAAAAGGAGCAGGAGGAGGAGGAGAAGGAGGAGGAGGAGGAGGAGGAGGAGGAGGAGGAGGAGGGAGGCTTCGGGTTGCGCACGGGGGGCCCCCCAGGTAGTCCGGGCTGGCCTCAACAGGCACACCGAGTATCGCAGGCCTAGAGGTTGTCACCAACACCAATATCGGCGGTGTGCCTCCACCGAGGGAAGAAGATCCCGATCTCGGTGATGGTGGTAATATTCAAGGTGGCCGCAATATAGCCACCAACACTGAAATCTAGGATCATCTTCCCCCTGTGGAGGCAACCCCCTGTGTTGATGTTGGTGCCGATTTCCAGGCCTCCAAGAGTAGTCCCAGCTAGCATCAACGGGCTCCCCGAGTGGCCTGGGGCGGTCTCAATTTCCGAACCCCGGGGCGCAGAGCGCCCCAGGGGCGCCGCCTCCGGCGGCGCCGAGGGGGTGATACCGCCCTGGACTACTCGGGGTTCCGTACCTTGGGGGTCAGAGGAGGAAAAGGTACCCACCTCCGCCTCATCCTCCTCCTCTTCCTCCTCCTCCTCCTCCCCCTCCTCTTCCTCCTCCTCGTCCTCGTCCTCTTCCTCCTCCTCCTCCTCCTCCTCCTCCTCCTCCTCCTCCTCCTCCTTACACGGTACCCGTTTTCCCGTTTTTCGGCCTCATGTGAGGCTTTCGTCGTCACCTCTAGCTTCTCGAAATCCTGGTCAGAACGCACCCTGGGAGAGGTCCGTGGAGTAGCGGTATGGGTACCTTTTGGTCTCCCCGGCGGGGGTTTGTTGGGGCCAGCCGGGACTGCCTGGGATCCTGCCCGTGCGCGCAGCGAAAGCTTTACGACGGAGCAGGGCAGGGATGTGAGGGCATCGGGGGTGGACAGAACCATCAACAGTGACACGTCGATTAGTGAATTGTCCGTTTTCGGTTCTCGAGAGGGCCCCGCGGCCGTTATTTTCCAGACTTGCGCCCGCCAGGTTTGGGCCTCAGGTCGTTTTCACTGAACCACGTTTTACTCAAGGGGGGTCTGTCCGTCCCCGAGGGCAGGAGGGATCGTGCTCCGAGCCGCACGGTGGTTATGCAGAGCCAACGCGCGAGCGCCGCGGGCATCCAGGCGCAGAGAGCACGCGCCTCGGAGTGCCAGGCTGCGGCACAACCTCAGGCGAAAACAACACGAAACGGAACGGAGGGATGGCAGCGTCCAGCCCGAGAACGAGAAGGACCTTGAAAACATCCTTAGGAAATCCCGACCGGAGCCCTGGACCCCATCTTTTGCGTCAAATATCGTGGGCGGACAGAACCCCCAACAGTGACACGTCGACTAGTGAATTGTCCGTTTTCGGTTCTCCAGAGGGCGCCGTGGCCGTTATTTTCCAGGTTTGCGCCCGCCAGGTTTGGGCCTCAGGTCGTTTTCACTAAACCACGTTTTACTAAAGGGGGGTCTGTCCATCCACGAAAATATTGTTCGAGCCGGATCGATCTGTGAGGGTCCCAGGGCCCGAACCCGGGCGAGAGCGCCTGTTGTGGGAAAGCTGCAGCGCCAGGCTTTGAGGGGAGGTGAGGGGCACCAGGAGGAAGCGCAGCAGGGAGGAGGCAGGCCCCATAGGCGCCTCCAACAGGCTCCGAGACGACGGCGGGGAAGCTCCTCGGGGCTCCTCAAGCGGCTTCCTCGTCGTTGCACAGCCTGCTGTTCCACAGTGCACCCCCACAGGCATTTCACGCGCGTTCGACTGCGTTGCTATCCGGGTTTTGAGCTACAGCAGTTCCCAGGTAGATCGTAGAAAGCGAAGCGGGTTTCAGATTTGAAGCTGGCAGCGCAAGCCAGGCCAGCCCCTCTTCGAGGCTCCCGGGCAAGAAATCCCGGAGCCGTCATGCTGTCTCCTGCCTCACTCCGTAGCACAGCCTTCGCTGTCGACGTGCTTCACGGTGCAGGAGGGCGAGGTGGTCAGTTGGTTCCCAGACCCCCGACGCCATGTTTTTTTTCATGACGTCGAGCCCCAGAAGTCTCGAACCATCCCCCTGGGACTGGTTTTTTTATACTGAGTCGTTCTGTGACGGTCCCGAGGCTTGGTAAGGGCCCTATCGATCGAGGCCGAACATCGCGAACATTTTGCCGTAGTGATGTTTCCATGACTCGAGGGGTTATGGCTTTGTGCAGTGACCCTTCGCCGGAGTGACCTCTTATGCGGGCCCACTGGGGCCCATCGATCGCACGAGCGAGATGCGGTAGTAGCGTTTTTGCGCGCTTGTGTTGGGTTCCCCGCGGCCCCCCAAAAAGTCGCGCACCAAAGGTTACCCAGTCGGCGTCACCCCAACATACTAATAATATGTGTGCGTCCCCCCCCCCCCCAGGGGCGACGCGCGCACCGAGAAATCTTATAGTATATGCGTCGCGGCGGGTGCTTTCTGGCCACACCGCTCGGGAAACGAGGTGCTACAAGATGGGTATACCACATGTTCGGGTCGGACGCGCAGTTCCAAGAAGAACATACTGTAGTACTAGTATGTTTTTGTGCGCCCCACCCAGGGTCACTCTTGCGAGTAGCCGAGCACAACCCAGACATGCGACGTCCTGATTTTTTCAGGACGGCGCCCCTGGAAGTCCCGGGCCCTTTCCCCAGGACCGGCTTCTCGTCCTGAGTCGTTTTTTTGATGGCCCCGAGGCCCGGCGAGGGCCCCCTGACAAGAGGGCCGAAAACAGCGGAAAATTGCCCTCCCGATTTTTCTGCGGCGCGATCGTGTCTGGGAACATGAGAGCCTGTTTTTTTGGATTCGTGCAAGTTTACTTGCATGGCGTTCGCCCCCCCCTCCCCCCCCTCGCCCCTCTTCAAGCTAATACTAGCGTGCAAGTGCCTTTCGACTTGCGTGATTTCCGCGCCCCCCCGAAAGTGCAAGTCGTTTGCGGCTTGCTTCAGGCTCAGCCCCCCCCCCCGTCCATGCAAGTAAACTTGCCAGAGTCTAGAAAAAACCAGGCTCTGAGCGGGGCTCCGCCGTCCGGCCGGCCGGCCGCGCCCGGCGCCCGAGGCCCCTACGTCCACGAGGCCTGCCGGCCCAGCCGGCACCACCGGCCGCTCAGCGCCTGCCAGCCGCTCTTCAACGCCCGGGCGCCGAAGGCCGGCCGGCGCCTCGGCCGACAAAGACCCCCAGACCCCCTCGAGTTGTGAAAAAATCACGACGGGAGGTTTTTCATGACTTTTGGCCTCTGGGGGCCCTTACCGGCCCTCGGGGCCGTCAAAAAACGACTCGGGACGAAGAACCGGTCCCGGGGAAAGGGTCCAGGTCGCTGGGGGTCAACGTCATGAAAAAATCATCACGTCGGGGGTCTGGGACTCGATCGTGAGACGCGTCGGTTCTCGATGGTCTTCCGACCTCGAGCCTCGATCCTCGATGTTCTGTGACTCGAGCAGTGGCGAAGCGTCCTAGCTCGCCTAGAGCCCTACCAAACAATGCTCTAAGAACCTATTGTGGTTTCCGCGAAATGTTCTTAGAACACTTATGGCTGGGGCTGTCTTGGATACATCGGGTTTATGTTCTAAGAGCATTGTTCTTGCTCTGAGAACATTTCTGGGTTCGAAGAACATATCGTGGTAGGACTATAGGAATGCCGGGACTGCCGGACACCGCTCAACGATCCTCGATGTTCTGTGATGCCCGACCTCGACAGCTGCCTCGATCCTCGATCCTCGACGCTCTTCCTCGCGGTGCCAGTGGCCGGGCAGCCGGCAGCCCTGCGGCGGCCCCCCCCCCGCCCCTGCCACGGGGAGCGGAGGCGCCGCCGCCGCGCTGCGGCCGGGGAGGGGCTCGGCCGATCGAGCCCCGCTCGGTGCGCACTGTCGGGGGGGGGCGTCGCGCGGCGTGTGCACCGCCGCCTCCGCTCAGCCAGACCCCCCCCCCCCCCGGGTCCTGGAGAAGCATGGCGGAGGCTGCTCCGCTCCGCTGCGTTCGGGCCCCCGGGGGGGGCCTTGCCGGCCCCTCCGGGCCATCGAGGAAGGGCTCGGGACGAAACCCCGGTGCGGGGGAGTGGGTCCAGGCCCCCCCTCCTCGGGTCCTGGAGAAGCAGGGCGGAGGCTGCTCCGTTCCGCTGCGTTCGGCCCCCCGGGGGGGGCCTTGCCGGCCCCTCGGGGCCATCGAGGAAGGGCTCGGGACGAAGCCCCGGTGCAGGGGATTGGGCCCAGTGGGTCGTCGTTGTCTTATATGCGTTGCTTTGCCGATCGGTGCAGGCCCTCGCACCCCCCCCTCCGCCCCCCCATGGAGTGAATCTTGGCTGTTTTGGGCGCGCGTTTCAAGCAGGTGGAGTTTCCTCAATAGGACGCACTGTTGCAAGCAGTCGCATTAAACAGAGGTTCTGAGCCAGACCCCCCCCTCCCCCCCACCTCTCGCTCAATGTCGAATCAAAGCCGAATACGAAAACGTTCACCAGACCGCTGGGGGTACACGTCATTGAAAGTTCATGACTTCGGGGACCTGGGCCAGGTATACGTGACGTACGGTAGGTGTGCGTCGTGTCGACTGGCGGCGACCCCGCCGCTGGCGTTCAACGTTGAACGCCGTCGGCGACTCAGAATCGGTCGATATTGAACGATCTGGCGTTTCAGAAACGGCCAATCGCTCAAGGTTTGAAGATTCCCGCTGCGTCAGGCACCCTCGCCGAAGTCGGCACGACACGCACCTGCCGTAGCCTCCTGGCCCGCCTCTACGGTCGGGACCTCTTGGACAGCGTGTCGCTCCGCCGGCTCTGGCGCACCACGCCGCGGAGCGAGACGCTGGCCATGTCCGGGTTCCCCGAGCGCCCATGTCCCGAGAGCCTTTCTCCGCCTCCTGCCCCGCGGAACGGAGGGGGCACCCTGCCTGGCCGCCTGCAAGGCAGATCGTGTGCCGCCGGGGGCCGCGACACGCGACACGCGAAGCCAAAGTTCCCGACCGCAGTCCCGCCGAATACTGCTCTAAGGCAATCCCGTAGGTTCTCGGAGCATCTCTGGCAGAGCCAGCTTCGTATGAATCCACCGGTTGCCTGCTCTGCGGATGCTGCTTCTGTCCTGGCAGCAGTTGTTGTTTTCCCTGAGCGCCGGGCGTGGCAGGCCTGCAGAGCACTGCCGGGGCGATGGGCCCTCTGCCGGAGAGGAGGGCGGCCCACAAGACCCAAGACTTATGATGCTCCAACCTACTGTTGCATTGATCGCCCGGGAGAATTTCGAGCACCCAAAAAAGTACCGAAGTTCCAGGGTTTTCACGTGTCGGGCCCTGGGAGACACTCGCCCGACACTGTTTCGACACTCTTTTGACACTTTTCCGGGTGCTCGAAATTATTTCTGGGATGTGGTCCTTAAGTAAGATGGGAACAACATGACCCAAGAGCCATAATCGGAAACTGGAACATCTGCATCACCAGTGGCGGGTGGCTTTTCAATCCCAGGACTTCTTCTTGAGGGTCGAGGACGACGATGGGGGAGGTGTGGTGTATACTTTTTGTTCCCCGATGCCCGGGGGAAGCAACGACAAACATTACACACCAGGGTCCCGTATACACGCGGATCCGCCCTCCAGTGCACTCTCCACGGCAGAGCCGGAAGCGGCGTCGGTGTAGAGAGTTCGATTCCCTGCATAAGGGGGCGACGACGACGACGACGACGACGACGACATGAGCTCAGAGGGGGGAGCGAACGACGAGGCGTCAGGGGAGAGGGCACCCGGGCGGCCTGCGCCCCATCCGCTGCCTCGCGCGCACGGGCGGCCTCCTCGGGCTGCCAGGGCGAGCGGAGGCCCCAGATTTCATGGCGTGGGCCATGATATTTCCCCAGATTTCATGGCGCATCTTCTTATTTCATCACGTCCCTGCCCCCCCCCCTCCCCCGGGCCGCGCACATGCCGCCGGCCATGATTTGCACCCCCCTCTCTTGGACGCCCCCCTCTTTGCCGCTTCCGATCAACGGAGAGGAAGCATGCTGCCAAATCATTACCAGATTTCTAAAAGATGTTTCAAACGTGCTTTAGATCTTTAAAGAGCATGCTTGGACCATGTTTAGAACATGCTTGGCACATTTTAAACACATTGTTGAATTCGATGGTAGGATTGTTAGAGTGTCCATCGTCATGGCATCCACAACGATAGTCGGGGGAGGTCGCGCTGAGATTACCGTCGTTGGCCTTCGGGAGGCCCCCCTCGTCGCTGCGGCTGGACGCAGCTCGGATACATGGGACGCGGGGACCCCCTGGACGGGGTCCAGGGACTGATGTTGAGCTGCCCTGGTCTCAACTCGCCCTTCTCTGAGTCATGGGGGAGTTTTTGGGCATGTTCGGAAGCCCTCGAAGGTTCTCGGGAATTTTCGGGACCCTGGGTGCGTTCCATTAGCTGCGCCGCCTCGTCGAGAGCGTTCTGGGATTGTCAGAATTGTCCCGAACGGCCGCCAGAGACCCGACTTACAATCCGAGTTATGACCCGAAACCGGACGACAGGGATCACTGGGGTGGGATAGGATCAGGGGGGAAACGCATCGACTCCCAATCGCCCATTCATCGCCCACAGGGGCCCGCTTGCCCACTTTGCCCCAAGAACCGATGGCCCACTTTGCCCAGGAACGCGCCGATTGGTTATCGGCGGCCTATCGCCGATCTATTGGCGATGTAGCGCCGATCCCAGCAGGACGTTTTCCTCCCCCCCTGAGCCCGTCCTCCCTGTCGTCCCCCCTCAGATGACGAGGGGATCGAGGATCGAGGATCTCAGGATCGAGAATCGACGATCTTAGGCCAGAGGATCGAGGATCGAGGATCTTAGGATCGAGGATGACGGCCCCGACGACGCCAGATCGAGGATCGAGGATCTTAGGTCAGAGCACAGCGGCGCGCTCGATCCGTCCGCGGGGCATGGCGAGTCGCCGTCTTCGTCGTCGTCGTCGTTGTCGTCGTCGTAATCGTCCTCGTCCTCGTCCTCGCCCTCGCCGCCGCTGCGGCACGCTGCGCAGCACCTCCCGAGCCCACTCGTCAGGGCCCATTGGTGCAAGCGCACCCCGGGGAACCCCCCTGCGCAGACCATGCGCATCAGTTGTGGACACCCGCGCAGCGTTCTTCGGTCGGCGATGGGCCTGCCTCCCCGCACCTGGGGGGGCAGCCCCAGCGCCACCTCGGGGCGCGCTCCGTGCGCCAGATCCCACAGGTTCCATCGGCGACGCATGAGATCCACGCGGACCTCCGAAGCTCTGTGCTTACGCGCATGTTGCTGATTCCATCTCCTCCCCGCTCCCACCCTCAGTGCTCGTCCTGCCACCCAGTCCCTTCGCCATCCATGGGCTGGTCTTATCGCGCGAGTGTGATACGGTGGGGGCGTTCGCTAAGGAGTTTGCCCAGGAGGCTTCAGACCCTGGAGGACTCCTTGTCTGATGAGGGCGGTCGGCGGTGACATCCATGGTCACTCCACCATTGGATCTCCACTGGCTTCCAGGCTCTGGATTCCTTACCCACTGGTTCCTTATCCAATGCCCTCACCGTGCAGGAACGTCCACGCACATTCAGGCCCGCTGGCCCTCACGCTATGTGTTCATGTGTTTGTGTGTGTGTGTGTGTGTGCGTGCTCAGTCTCCCGTGCATTCGCATCACAAACCTGAGGCGCCGAATGGCCTGCCATGCTCCGAGCGGCAGCGTGGAGCGGCGATGGCGGCCGCAACCCTCGCGACGGATGTCTAGGCCAGTGGGGAGGAGCCTGCTTGGACACGACCGATATTCAATCCCCATTGTCTTCATAGACGCTATAGTGGATGATGTTGTTTTGGCATAGTCATATGGCCGTCATCGGGAATGCACTGCAGATCTTGGGGTCGGGCGAGCTAGTTGTAAATGGTGCCTGGCTCCCGTTGCTGTGGCTAAGACAAGGCTGCGCTGACGCAGAAGCTCGATCCCCCCTCACTTCTAGTCGCGGTCGCCAGCTCCCAGGTCTGGCCGCGATTTGGGGGAGACCGCCAGCCATACCCGTTTCCCGACAGAAGCCGACAGGGGTCTTTGTTTCCTCTGGAGATCTGCCACCCTGGGCTCAACTCGTGGTGAGGCCACGCCGTGCTGGAGGCAGACGGGGGGGGGGGGACCGCGGCACAGTCGGGCACGTCCGTCGGCGGTGGACGGAGGCTCGCCGCACGCCGCCGCTGCTCCCCTCGGCGCCGCAGGCGTGCGCAGAAGTTCCGTGCCGGTTCCTGGCCACCGTGGGCTTCTGCCCCAACGGGGTGAACTGCATGTACTCGCACGCTGCCGCTCCCACGGATCGTGGCGGAGGGAGGGAGGGACGGAGAGAGGGGACGACGGGGGAGGACGGAGGGAGAGAGCGACGGTGGAGGCTGGGCGGGAGTCTGTGGCGAGCGAGGCGGGACGGAGGGAGAGGCAGGATAGGTGGTCGGAGGTGCGAGGGCGGCAGGGAGGGAAAAGAGAGGGGGAGGGAAGGCTGAAGTGCATGCCGAGCGATGTCGGAGGGTTGCGCAGGGAAGGTGAGTAATGGATGGGAGGAGCTTTGCGGGAAGTGTGCGGTGGATGGCAGGCGATACCGTAGGTTGGAGGAGGAGGAGGAGGGAAGATCTAACGGCGAGGGAGGGAAGGACGGAGGAGGCAGGGAAACATGGGGTGGCACCGCGAGCCATGCCGCATGGAGGAGAGGGGTGCGAGCGAGGGGGGAAGAAGCACACGATGCACATGTGCTGGATGGAGCATTGGGAGGGAGGGAGGGAGGGAGAGGAGTCGCACGGACAAGGTGGCCCTCCCTCCTTCCTTCCCCGCCTCTCCACAGCTCTACATACCAAAAACGACTCTCCTCTCTTCCCTGGCTCCGTCCAGGAGATGGCCGAGTCTCTTCGCGCAGTGTTCTCGCAAAGGGGCACCGGTGGTCTTTCCTGTGTGTCTGTTTCAACCCGACCTGTTTTCGATGTTTCAAACCGGTGCTCATGCTGCAGCGTGGGACTCATTGTCGAATCGGTATTTTGGTTCCGTCGTTCAGAAAGGCGCTCTGAGCCACAGCGTGGGCCACTTTTCAAGATCCGAGTCCTTTTTCATGTTTGTTGCCCCCCTCATTTCCCCGCCGCCTGCCCCGAGTCCTCCTGCTCGTCCCGCTTCTTACGCTCCAGTTCCTGCTGCTTCTGCTGTTCGTTCTCGTCTTCGTCCTTACACATCCTCCTCCTCTTCCTCCTGCGGAGGCTTCTCACAGTTTCTGGAGGTCGTCCTCACTGCTCCTTGGAATCACTTCGGTTACCATCTTCCTTCCGCTCGAGCCTATCGCTCAGGGCTCCTCCTACTCTCCCTTTCCTCTCCTCCCCCTTCTCCCCCTCCCCCTCCCCCTCCACCTCAGCCTCCTCCCCATCCCCTGCCCCGCTCCTTCCTCTTCTCCTCCCCCTCCTCCGCCTCCTCCAGCTCGCGCGCCCGGTGCCTCCCCCTCGCGTCCCCTTGCGCCTTTCCCCCTCCCTCACGGGGGGGGGAGATTGACGGCGACGGCCACGGATCGGCGGCCGGCGGCGGCGGCGAGTGGGGGATGTTGCCATCGAGCCACCCCGACACCCGACGCTGCAGACAAGCTGCAGCACCGCAGAAACATCGGCGGCGCGTTTCGAGCCAGGTCGATCTGTGCTGGCCCCGGGGCCCGAGTCCCGGACCCGAGGGGCATCCAGCGAGGGCCGAGCCGTGGCGAGGCGCCCCGGCTTTCCTATAGGCCCCCCCCAACAGTGCTCTGAGAACCCTGTGCGCTCTGCGCGAACCGTCCCTGGAACCGTCCCTGGAGCCTTCCTGGCCGGGACCGCCCGGCCTTGACGACCCCTCGGGGCTCTGCTCCAAGGCCAGCTGCCCCTGCTCTTCGAGCGCCCCCTGGGTGCTCGAAGAGCACGCCGCGGCGGGCCTGCAGGACTGCCGCGGCGGCCGGCCCCATGGGGCCGCCCGACCGCTCCCTCTCGCGCAGGCTGCTCGAGAGGCAGACCTCGGGCGGCGGAGCCTCCGGCGGCGGCGGCGGCGAAAGCGACCGCGCGAGCGGCCGGCGCGGGGCGCAGGCCGCCGCCGAGGCGGCGGCGCGCGCCGTGCCGCCCAGCAGCCCGCGGCGGCCCCCCCGCCCTCGCCACGAGGAGCGCCGCCGCCGCCTTCGGTTCGGTCGGGGGGCGCGGTCGGTCGAGCCTCGATCCTGCTCCTCCTCGATGCTCCTCCTCCTCCTCCTCCTCCTCCTCGCCCCTCCTCCTCCTCGCGCCAAGATTGTGGGGATGACTCAGGCGGCTTGTTTGTTTCTTCCCCCTAGACCTTTCCTTTCTGGTGGTTCAGTGCTCACTGCGATTTAGCAGGCGTGGCACTTTGGCACCCCGGGAGCCGACATGGGCTATGACACTCGCCCGTTCGCGCCCATATTGCGGGGATTTCCCAAATGGTTTGCCTGGTTCTGCCCCCTAACATTTTTTGTTTTTGGTGGCCCAATGCTCACTGCGACATCAGGCGTGGCATTTGGGCACCCCAAGGGGGGAGCCGTCAGGGGGTATGACATTCGCCCGTTCGTGCCCAGGCTATGGGAATGTCTCAGGCGGTTTGCTCGCTTCTGCCCTGCAGAGTTTCCTTTTTTGTTGGTCCGTTGTTCACTGCGATGTACCAGGCGTGGCACTTGGGTCCCCGAAGGGGGAGCTACCAGGGGGTATGACACTCGCTCGCTCACGCCCATTATTTCGGGATGTCTCAGACGTTTTGCTTGTTTCTGCCCCGCCCCCAGACTTTATGCTTTCCGGTGGTTCATTGTTCACCGAGATCTAGCAGGCGTGGCATTGGGGCAAATACCCCAAAGGGGGGACGCCAGGGGATATGACACTCGCCCGTTCGCGCCCAGATTGTGGTGATGTCTCAGGCGGCTTACCTGTTGCTGCCCCCCAGTTGGTCCATTGCTGACTGCGAGAAAGCAGGCGTGGCACTTGGGCACCAAAGGGGGATTCGCCAGAGGTTATGACACTCGCCCGCTCGCGCCCAGATAGTGGGGATGTTTCAGGCGGTTTGTCTGTTTATGCTCCCCGCCTTTTTTCTTTGGTGCTCCATTGCTCACCGCAGTATAGGACGCGTGGCACTTGGTCACCCCGAAGCGGGAGCCGCCAAGGGGTCTGACAATCGCCCGCTCGCGCCCAGGTTGTGGAGACTTCTCGAATGGTTTGCCTGGTTCTGCCCCCCTGCCATTTTTTATTTTGGTGGCCCTCTGCTCACTGCGATAGCAGGCGTGGCACTTGGGCCCCCAAGAGGGGAGCCGCCAGGGGTGGGACACTCCAGCATTCGCGTCCACATTGTGGGGACGTCTCAAGCGGGTTGCCTGTTCCCCCCCCTTTGACTTCTCTTTGGTGTGCGCCTTTCTCACTGGCTCACCTCCCCCTTCTCTTCCTCTTCCTCCTCCTCGTCCTGTCCCTTCTCCTGACTCATACGCACTCATTCACACCCAGACTGAACAACACTTCTTCTTCATTCGAACTCGCTCGTTACATTCAGATTCACCCATCATCATGTTCATTCATGTTCAGATTCGCGCGTACGTCGACACACTCTGATTCATTCCCACAATCCCGGGTTGTCTAGCACCCAGGCGAGCCCACTCTCAGGCCAGGTCAGGTTCAGACATCGTTCACCCTCGAGCTCTTTCATACTCAGGCTACATCGTGTACCCAGGCTCACGACTTTCCATATACGTTTTCGTCACACTCGCGCTCAGACTCGCTCGCGCTCAGACCCACTCGCACTCAGACCCGCTCGCACTCATACTCGCTCGCGCTCAGGCTCAAGCGTGCCCGGGTCCGCTCGCCCTTTGCTTCGCGCGCACCCAGACGATCACTCGCAGCGCTCAGACTCGTCCGCGCGAGGGCTCACGCGCAGGCGGCAACCGCGAGGTCGCGCGCGTGGCATCTGGGCACTTCATATGCCAGCAGGCGCGGCGAGGAGAACGCCACAGAGCGGACGCAGCAACGCCATGCGCGCTTGCCTGCATGGCGACAGGGAGGGCGGCAAGATGCATCCCCCCCCGCTCTTCCATTTGTGTTTCCCTCGCATCTCTTGACGCATGTCCAGAGGAGGAGGACTTCACTGAAGTCGTCGCGGTCGCCGTCGTTGTCACGCCTGTCGCCAACGCGGACTTGCTTCACGCCCGGATGCTGACAGACAGAGCTCTTCAGCGAGGCGCGACAAGAATTATGCCATGCACAAGCGGGGCTTTCCCCGCCGAGAAATGTTTCCCCCGGCTCGACCGATAGACGCGATCGATCGATCGATCATACTATTGTGATTCTCCCTTTCCCGTGCCCATGCACGAGCCTGGGCGCGCCAGACCTGATCAGCGCGTGCTTTTGGCTACGCCAGGTCGGTGGCACCCGTTTCTTGCCGTCTCTTTCCCTGATCCTGGCCTGGGCAGCGGGCCGATTGTGCCCCTCCGCGGCGTGTCGCGTGACCCTGGCAGGACCCGGAGGCCATCGCCGCCCTGACTGCCCTGGCGGCGGCGGCCTGGGAGCTGAAACCTGTTGTGGCGACGCCAGGGGGCGCGGCGCCGGCCCCAGGAGAGAGCAAGGGGGAGGCGAGTTGAGCAAAGGATAGGGATTTCGCACCGAGCGCTGCAGCGAGCTGAACAAAGGAAAAAGAGGAGGGGGAGGAGGAGGAGCACGATCGGAGGATGAGGAGGAGGGCGAGGGAGACGAAGCGCAGCAGGACGCGAAGGCGGCGCTGAGGGGCTGAATTCCGGGGTGATGGGTGCGGTGGTCGGCGTGCTTTGGATGCTCGCTGCGGCTGCATCTTTGGTCGCAGCTTGTCGCGCTGCTAGGTTGGATCGCGCGCGGGTCGCTGCAGTTGTGGGGCGGGCAGGGCATCACGCCCACGGTTTGGCGCACTGCGCTCTTCCCGAGGGGGTCAAGGCGATCATGATGATGACACGGGGAAGGAATCTTTGGGATGAGCAAGTAATAGTTACAGTCGCAGTCGGACGAGCCTCTGTTTCACCAGTGATAGTTTGCAGTGGTAGGAGACAATGGTGGAGGAGGAGGAGTAACAGGATAAGTCACAGTATAAGTGGCAGGAAGGAGACAAGCAGGAGGATCGGCAGTGAGGACGGATGTCGGAAGCAGGATCAAGTCGTGAGGAGTCAGGATGGGGCAGGGAAGAGGCAGGACTGAGACGGTAATGGAGAACAGGGTAGGTTTGATGAAGAGGTGGACGGGATTGAGGGGGTACCATGATGATGATCCTCTTGCTGCTGATGATAATGAGGATGATGATGATGTTGATGATGCTGCTGATGATGATGCTGATGCTGCTGCTGATGATGCTGATGCTGCTGATGATGGTGATACTGGTGATGATCGTGACGACACTTATGCTGCTGTTGTTGCTGGCTTATCTGATCATGACGATGATGATTATGATAATGGTGATGGTGATGGCGGTGGTGATGATGATGGTGATGATTTTGCTGCTGCTGATAATGGTGATGCTCATCATCATGACGATGACGATGACGATGCTGATGATGATGATGCTGATGACGAGATGCTGTTGATGATGGTGGTGATGATGATGACGGTGGTGAGTATGAAAGCTGATGATGATGATGACGATGATGATTCAGACGATGATGAGGATCAGGATGAGGATGAGGATGAGGACGATAATGAGGAAGAGGATGAGGATGTGGACGAGGACGATCATGAGGAGCCGAATGTGGATGAGGTTGACGAGGATGATGATGATGATGATGATGATGATGATGATGATGATGATGATGATGATGATGATGATGATGATGATGATGATGATGATGATGATGATGATGGCGTTCTTGATAATGATGATGCTGATGATGATTATGATGACGATGACGATGACGATGATGCTGATGCTCGGGATGCTGATGACAAGGATGAGGATGACATTGGGGATGAGGATTCGAATGCGGATAAGGATGAGGATGATGATGAGGATGAGGATGAGGATGATGCTGATTGTGGTGATGATGTTGATTATGACCATGATGATGGGCATGATGGGGATGACGATGCTGATGATGGCGATGATGATGATGATGATTAACTATGACGATGCTGATGATGGTGATGATGATGATGAGGATGTGGATGAAGATGGGGATGAGGATGATGGTGATGCTGATGATGACGATGATGATGATGATGACGGTGCTGGTGGTGATGTTGATGATGGTGATGATGTTGACGATTTTGTTGATACTGATGATGTTGATGATTATAATGATGATGCCTATGACTATGATGATGATGCTGATGCTGCTGCTGCTGATGATGATTGTGATGATATCAATGCTGCTGATGCTGCTGATGGTGCTGGTGATGGGAGGAAGAGGAGGAGGAGGAGGAGGAGGAGGAGGAGGAGGAGGAGGAGGAGGAGGAGGAGGAGCAGGAGGAGGAGGAGGAGGAAGAGGAGGATAAGGAGGATGAAGAGGATGAGGTGAAGGAAAGGGGAGGAGGAGGAGGAGAAAGAGGAGGAGGAGGTGGAGGAGCAGGAGGAGGAGGAGGAGAACCCGTATCCACTGTCTCCTGCGGCCTTGGGACATCGTGTTTCCCCGGGCGGTGGACAGAACGTCCAGCATCTAGTCTTCCCCTCCTGCCCACCCACCTTGCGCCTGCGCGCCAGCGGCGGTCGAAGGCAGCCGAGGGGCACTCCGGGGAGCAGTTGCCAAGGAAGGGAAAACCAGCCGGACCTGACAATCGACGTCCACTAAACGGTCCTGGGTGTTTTTACTAAACAGCCCTGCCCTGTTTGCTTCCTCCTCTGGGCGCGTTTTTGCTTAACGGCTTCGCGTGGCGGGGGTGTTATCATCGGGGTGGAGCTTCTGCTTTCTAACCGAGTATGTTCTCCCGTTTCGATGGACTTTCGATTCTTGAATCTGCAGAAGGTGAATCACAAGACGGATGGATTTTCGAGGTACAGAAAAGCCCATCTGGATTTCACCCTGAGCCCTCCACCCTACGACATGCTCAGATCTAAGTGGGGCGCAGCGGCGCGAGGGCCACCGGCGGCGTCCCCAGTGCCGCACCTCCCCGTCGCGTTTGTTGAGGATGTGCTTCACGTGCTCGTCGTCGGTGGCGATCCCAGCGGCCCACTTCGTGGCCTCGAAGGCCTGAGCAGTCAGGGCCGTCCACCCGTCGCCGAGCACGGCATCGGGGTACGCCTCGGTGAATCGCGCGCCAGAGGCAGCGGGCGTGGGCGCGAGGGGGGAGGCGAGGCCGCGAGCGGCGGGCAAAGGGAGGCCATGGCACGGTGCGGGTGCGCCGGCCCCCGCTCTCCCGCGCCGCCGCCCCGCGGAGGCGGGCCTGGAGCCGCGGCCCGCCGCGCCCGACCTCGGGCCGAGGCCGCGCCGGCTCCGCGCCCCGCCGTCGCCGCGCCCGCGGAGGAGGAGGAGGAGCAGGAGGAGGAGGAGGAGGAGGAATAATAATAATAATATTAATCATAATCATACTAATAATATTAATAGTCATAATAAGAGTAATCATCATAATAATAATATTTATACTAATAATGACGATGATGATAATCATAATAATAATCATAACAATAACAACAATAATAATAACAACAACAATAATAATAACGCGGCTGGGAGGCACGCAGGGTCTTCGAATGCCACAGTCTCTCGCGGGGATGGGTGGCTGCCGCGGCCGTATATGGAACGAGCTGCTCCGTGAGCTCAGTGATATGTAAGCGAGAGTGCGTAGCGATTCACGACTTTCTAACTCGGCGACCAGCCGATGCTGCGGAAATCCAGAAGGCGCTGGGAGGGGCCTAGGTAGGCCCCACGAGGCTGAAAAACAGGCCCTGGGGAATACCGCGCCGACGGGTAGGGCGCCCAGGCAGCACAGATGCAATGCAGTTCAGCTGCGGCAGAGGAGGACGGGGAGGAGGAGGAGGAGGAGGAGGAGGAGGAGGAGGAGGAGGAGGAGGAGAAGAGGAGGACGACCGCAGCGGCAGCAAGCGGCCTCACGCCTGGAACACCCAGGCATTGACGAAGGCGGACCACTGCAGCGCCACGGACTCAACGACGAGGGCCCAGTCAGAGTCACCAAGCAAGTCATTGATGACCTGAGGAGGAGGAAGGGGAAGGGGAGGGGATGGGAAGAAGGAGAATGAGGAGGAGGAGGAGGAGGAGGCGGAGGCGAAGGAAGAGGATGAGGAGGAGGAGGAGGAGGAGGAGGAGGAGGAGTGGGACCAGTGTAAGCCCAAGGTGCGTCAACGATGTTGCAATACATCCTCCCTCCAAGTTCGCTCGTCATGGATCCCTACGTGGGTTTATGTTCACTGAAGGAAGTACCCCGAGCTCTGCAGAGGAGGTGGGGGGATCGAATACGCTGGAATGGGGGGGGGGCTCTGGCACGGACCTCGCCCAAGAGGGCCTCCAATGAGGCCTCGAGAGGACCCGCGATGGGGCCGAAGACGGCCCCAAGAGAAGCTCACGAAGGACTGAACGCCCCTTTGTCCCTGCATCTCCTGCGGCTGGAGTGCCACCGGACGGCTTTGAGAGCAAGTCATCTTCATCTTCGCATCTTGTTTGGGTCCGCTCAGGCACTTGTTCCCCCAGGTAACCCCGCGATTCATCGTGTTTCGCACCGTGAACCTACAGTGAACAGTCAGTGAACCAGCAGTGAACCATCGCAACAAACGTAGTGCGCCTCAAATCGAATTCAAAAGGTTTTGAACCACTGTCCTTTTTTAGTCGAAATCGTTGGTCACTGTATTATTTTTGATGGTTCACTGTTGCTTCACTGAGTTCACTGACGGTTCACGTTCACTGTAGGTTCACTTGTGTTTTCTTGGCCGAGAGCGCCAAGCACGCCAAGTGCGCCAGGCGCAGCAGGTGCGCAGTGCGCAACAGGTGGGCTTCGTGCACGACGTTAATGATACGCGCCACGTGCGACAGGTGCGCCACGCGCGTCAGGCGCAACAGGCTTTCGCTGACACGACCGCAATTCTCGGGGCGGCATCGGCGACGACGGTGGCAATGATGGCCTATGAAGATCAGTGCTGCAAATGCCCGTACGCTGCGACCCCAATCGCTGCTGCATGTTTATTGAATCGCTTCGCTCATTCCGCCGGCCCTGGAACCCTCTTTAGGGCCTCTTGGGGGCCTCAGCGGGACCTCTTTGGAGTCTCTTGGGACTCTTGGGGGCCCCCAGGGCCGCTTGGGGGGCTTTGGGGGGCCTCTTGGGGCGGGAGGGGGGGCAGTCGATTGCGGCGCCCCCCTCGGAGGCCACGATCCTTGTGAGGGGTGTCGAAAAAGGGCCCTCCCCTGGAGTGCTCTGGGGGCTGCTTCCGGCTAGTTGCCGGGGTACTTTTCGTCTGGGGGCCCCCAGGGGCCGCTCCGCGCGCGCGAACTAGA